GTATCTCTGTGCATTCAAAATGCCATCAATAAAATGCACCTGTGTTCTTCATCCATAACAGATGCCTGCCCATACCATAACCCCACCACCACCATGGGTCACTCGATCTATAACACTGACATCAGCAAAGCGCTCACCCACACGACGCCACACACGCTGTCTGCCATCTGCCCTGAACAATGTAAACCGAGATTCATCCATGAAGAGAACACCTCTCCAACGTGCCAGATGCCATCGAATGTGAGCATTTGCCCACTCAAGTCTGTTACGGCGACGAGCTGGAGTCAGGTCAAGACCCCAATGAGGACGACAAGCATGCAGTTGAGCTTCCCTGAGACGGTTTCTGACAGTTTGTGCAGAAATAGTTTGGTTATGCAAACCAATTGTTTCAGCAGCTGTCTGAGTGGCTGGTCTCAGACGATCTTGGAGGTGAACCTGCTGGATGTGGAGGTCCTGGGCTGGTGTGGTTACACGTCATCTGCGGTTGTGAGGCCGGTTGGATGTACTGCCATATTCTCTGAAACACCTTTGGACACGGCTTATGGTGGAGAAAGGAACATTCAATGCACGAGCAACAGATCTGGTTGACATTTCTGCTGTCAGCATGCCAATTGCACGCTCCTTCAATGCTTGTGGCATCTGTGGCATTTTGTTGTGAGACAAAACTGCACATTCCAGGGTGGCCTTTTATTGTGGGCAGTATAAGGTACACTTGTGCACTACTCATGATGTCGGATCAGCATCTTGATGTGGCACACCTGTGAGGTGGGATGGATTATCTCAGCAAAGCAGAAGTGCTCACTATCACACATTTAGACTGATTTGTGAACAATGTTTGAGAGAAATGGTAATATTGTGTATCTGGAATGAATTTTAGATCTTTAAGTCCACCTCATGAAAAATCGGAGCAAAAACAAAGGTGTTGCGTTTATATTGCTGTTGAGTGTATATGTCTCCAGCTGCGTTTGTTGTGACTGAAGGTCAGAGAGGCTGGAATGAAGTAATTAATGGAGAGAAAAAACTAATCGATGAGCCGAGGCATTTAAATGACCTGTTACTCCATGGGCCTGTGGTCATCTGCCTTCAATGTGTATTTTTATCAGTTTGCTATAGGAGATTGATTTAGTCCAGCACAATAATTATCTGTTTTTTATTTACTAACCCGGTAACCTATCATTTAAAACAACTGAGGTTCTCTTTTAAAATGAACCTTTAGTCGTGCCAAACAGACATTCGTGGGTAGGGTTGTCCACCCCATTATAAGATTTTTCTGTCACACGGTTGCTGAGGAGTTGTTACCCAGGGGTGCCGTGTTTCTCTTTCAGCTGTTCTCACACTGCCTCAGTAACTTGTTTTTATTTTGACTCGCTCTCAGTGTTCTCAAGATGCAGAAAGTTGTTTTTCATCTCCACCTTTCTGAAAGCTCACAGTTTCATAGCTGCTCTGCACAACTGACAATAAGAAGGCCTTTAGCTGAATCCAGTGGAGCTTTAATCTGTAAAATAATGGACGTTTTAGTTGAAGAATTAATGCTAATAGTTTAACTTTAAAAGGTAGTTCAATCTTTTGGTTAAAACGGTCATTAGAAACTAATCTGATGCTGGCATGTGACAAGAAAGTTATCTAAATATGCATCTGAGTGATGGGACACATGTCCAGAAAACAAATATTGTAGCTTTGAGAGAAAAAAATCATCAAACAGGTCACATGTGGATTTCATTGCTGCTGTGTGTGAGGCTTGGTCAGACTAATTTGTGAAAATGGCTTAAAAAAGCTAAAGTATTTTCTTTTTGTCTGAGAATTAATTCCGACTTTACTTGGAGCAGGCTGCTTACAAGCCAGAGCCTCCTGCTGTCGCGTTTTCAGTGACAGATTTCTCTGATCCTCGTGTGACTTCTGGTTTCTGTGTTGTTTGAGCATAAAATATAATTGGGTTATTGGGATAACCAAAATGACCTCATCCTTCTTAGCAGCTTGTAAAATAAAAAAGGCAAACGTAAGAAAGGAAAGACACTTGTAAATAGGTTGGGTTGGGCCAGGATGCTGCACTCTGCTGGGTAAATATTACTCCTTCTGTGGTTGAGTTTGTCTGCAGCAAACAACGGGCCACTGGGGGAGGACGTATGGAAAGTGTGACAGTGGTTTGAAAAACCAAGAGGACAAATAAATGTAGTGTTGTGGTTTAATGGTATGGAGAGCCTATGTGGAGCCTTTTCTTATCCTTTTTTTTCTTTTTTGAGAGCACACATAAAAACGTCACACATTCACGACGCCCGTCTCTCACGCAAACACTGCAATGACGTTATTTCCCATTGAATCAGTCCAACGTGCTCAGCGAAAAAGATCTGGATGAAAAACAGCTCTAAAGGGTTCTGTTTAATCAGAGATGAAGTAAAGAAGATTCTCTTTCAGACAACCACATCAAATGCGCTCTTTCACTGCTCTCCCCTGCACTTCTCTGACCCGTCTTTATAGCGGCCTTCAAAGCGCCTCGTCTGGGCCTCAGGTAGGGTTTCCACTTCCTGGTTGTCACGGTTATGGCTCATTAAAGAGGAAACTGACCCCTTCTCAGATCTTTTTGATGTGTTTAAGTCCTCAGTACTGAAGTTGTCACCCAAGCACATGTTGTCTGCATTAGCAGTGACCCGCTTAGAAGTCAGCGCAATGACTGTCAGATGCTGTTCTGCTAAATCTCTCCTGATTTCATCATAAGAGCAACAATAAGATTAAGATCATAACTCATTGCTAAACCATTCATGCATTAAAGGGATACTTTGCAAATGTTTCATATTTTTTAAATAATTTTCCTGAACCAGAATGTGTTTAAAGGACCCTTTACAGGGTTAATGAAATGTCACTCAGACCCCAGCGACCCCTGTGGTCAGAATACTGCATTTGCAACTTCAGAGTGCCGGTCCGGTCAGTTAGAGCCGACATACCTGGCACTGCAGTCTGCTTCCAACATGTCTCCTGCATGTTTTAGGGAATGAACACAGCTGATTTGTTCCATTTAGTAATCAACCACTCCTGTAGACACTAATGAAGGCTGGGGAGACATTTCAGCTGTTAGATTAAGGTGTTAAAAAAGACGAACGCACAGCGAGAAGATAAGTTTTGCTTTTGGTTCTACTAAATGGACATTATGAGGTGCTAAATGCAATCCAAAACTGTCAAGTCTCAATCTGAATTGGTAGCGATTGATGATACAGCCCAGTTCTTACAGGGAATCATGGGTGTGCTTTATTTCATAAAATTTGAGACAACACAGTTTTTCTGATTGGAATGTAAGTGAAACATCAGCCTTTGAATATTCTTCTGCTAAACATTCTGCACTGTATTTGCTGACTCTTTAACTTTAACTTTGTTTCTTTTTCATTTTTAAATTGTGTTTTCTGTCACGATTATTTTAATGTTTTTGCTATTTTTGCTAATGGAAAGCACATTGAATTGTGTATAAAATGTGCTATATAAATAAAGCTGCCTTACCTTTATTAGCAGCTCTAGTGGGAGATTATAGAGGATATAGATATCTACTAGAACCTGAGAGCTATCTTTTAATGTTTATTTTTATACATGGATACCTGGTTTGAGCTTATTGATTTTGTTTATTTTTGTACAAAGTTTCATATTCCAGATGTCAGCTGGGTGGTTCAAGTTAAGCAAAAATAACTCACACGTTATTTAGTCCCTATGCAGTCATGTTTGAAAAATATAAGACTTTCTTTCAAATTTAGAGAACAGCCTCTCGTCTCGTCTCGTCTCGTCTTCCTCCGCTTATCCGGGTCCGGGTCACGGGGGCAGCATCCCAACTAGGGAGCTCCAGGCCGTCCTCTCCCCGGCCTTGTCCACCAGCTCCTCCGGCAGGACCCCAAGGCGTTCCCGGACCAGATTGGAGATGCAACCTCTCCAACGTGTCCTGGGTCGACCCAGGGGCCTTCTGCCGGCAGGACATGCCCGAAACACCTCCCCGGGGAGGCGTCCAGGAGGCATCCTGACCAGATGCCCAAACCACCTCAACTGGCTCCTTTCGATCCGGAGGAGCAGCGGTTCTACTCCGAGTCCCTCCCGAATGTCCGAGCTCCTCACCCTATCTCTAAGGCTGAGCCCGGCCACCCTACGGAGGAAACTCATTTCGGCCGCTTGTATCCGCGATCTCGTTCTTTCGGTCATTACCCAAAGCTCATGACCATAGGTGAGGATTGGAACGTAGATCGACCGGTAAATCGAGAGCCTGGCTTTCTGGCTCAGCTCCCTCTTCCCCACGACAGATCGGCTCAGCGTCCGCATCACTGCAGACGCCGAACCAATCCGCCTGTCGATCTCCCGATCCCTCCTACCCTCACTCGTGAACAAGACCCCGAGATACTTAAACTCCTCCACTTGAGGTAGGACCTCTCCCCCGACCCGGAGGTGGCAAGCCACCCTTTTCCGGTCGAGAACCATGGTCTCAGATTTGGAGGTGCTGATCCTCATCCCAGCCGCTTCACATTCGGCCGCGAACCTACCCAGCAAGAGCTGAAGGTCAGAGCTGGATGAAGCTAGGAGGACCACATCATCCGCAAAAAGCAGAGACGAGATTCTCCTGCCACCTTACTCGACACACTCAACACCACGGCTGCGTCTAGAAATTCTGTCCATAAAAGTGATGAACAGAACCGGTGACAAAGGGCAGCCCTGGCGGAGTCCAACCCTCACTGGGAACAGGTCCGACTTAGAGAACAGCAAAGCTCACAACGCATCAAATGTCAATCTGTTTCTCAACATTCAGTGTTACAATTTTATTCTATTTTAAATCAAATTTAAGTTATATCACCTACTTTAGTCTGAGTGCAACATTATGTTAGCTTCATGCACAAAACTGCTACAGCTATGCAACAGATCATTAACACAGTTTGAACTGTTATAAAATTATTTAAATCCAATCGACCAATTAAGTTTACTATTAATTAATTACAGTCAGTTTAGTTATTTTCTGCATGTTTCTGTTTTATTCTCTGCAGGGAGTCATTCTCTTACCTGGAAACAAAGTTACAGAACATCTAAGCAGCGGCGATGAAGGGGGCAAATTTCTCTTTGAGGTGGTTCCTGGTAAGATTAACAGACTTTAATTATTTACTGTGACCAGTGACTGATTCACCTTTTGCTACTTTAGTCTGTTTTTTGTCAGATGTTTCATAATCTGTGGCTCTCGTGATGGATTTTATTTTGTATCCTATCTGAGGAAAACAAACCCAAATTTTTGAGACGAAAAGTGTTAAATGGAACTAAAGCTCAGCAGTTTTCTGACAGATTATAGAAATAAAAATTTAAAGCATTTGTAAGCTAAAAATATTAGTCCCTTTGCCAAAAAGATCACTCAGTTTCATTATGTGCTTGTTCTGTTGTTATGATTCACATCAGTCACAATTAATCAACTAATTAAAAATGGCTTTTGTCTGTTCTTAATCAAGATGATGTGAGCATCTGTCTTTCAAAGGAAATTTTAAAAATCAAACTTCTTTTTTATTTCTTATTTTTCCAAATCTGTAGCAAAAAGCTAAAAATGTATGTTTTTTAAAGCAAACTGAAAGGAGAAGTGCTGGAAAACTGTGCAAGAAAATATGCAGATAGTTTGTAGAAAAGCCTGACTATGAAAAACAGTTTACCCTTAATTTGGTAAACAAAGTTTGGGTATTGTGCATTTGGCAGTCTAACGTCTGTGATAATTCTAACATCTGAGGAACACATCTGTGTGTAAATCACATCAACAAATGGTTTTTTTGCTGTTAGCAGTTTTTAAAGGTCAACTTTACTCCTATATTTAATACATTTGCAGTGGTCTCTAGTAGGAATGAAAGCCTTAAGTCATACTCTGGAGAAAAAAAGCAACCGTGCACCTGCTTGAGGACGGAAAAGTCAGCTGGAGGACAAGGTAGCTTCAGACGACAGGATTTGGAGTCTAATTTCCTGATGTTTGGAATCTCGCCTCTGGTTTGCTAACAGCAATGCAACTCTGTACTAACTCTGCTCTGCAGCGTTGATGTTGAATCTACACAAATAACTCAGCCCTGAAGGAGTGTTGTAGAGTTGCTAATGCTAACGGTTAGCTTCTACCATTCTTTGTTGTTTCCTGGACGTTATACCAACAACCTTCCCCATCACGAGTCAAGATGGGTGAGTCCATGAATGCTCATTTTCAGTGTGACATATTTCTGAGTGGCTTTTCTGAACCAAGTGTTTCCTCGTCTATTTTCTATCAAAGGTTATTTAAATTCAATTCAAGTTTATTTCTATAGCGCCAAATCGCGACAAGAGTTGTCTCAAGGCATGTGTACAGCAATCATCTTACTAAGCAAGCATTTAGCGACAGTGGAGAGGAAAACTCCCTTTTAACAAGAAGAAACCTCCAGAGGATCCTGGCTCAGTATAAGCAGCCATCCACCACGACTCACTGGGGATCGAGAAGACAGAGCAGACACCAGAACCAGCCCAGCAGGTTCCTGCAGGAAATAGGGGTAGGAGTCAGTTTTTGTTCAGCCTGCATGATAAACTCAAAGTGACGGATTATAATTTAAAAATAACTTGTAAAAAGCAGTTTTCAGTTAACACTGTAATTTGTCTCAGATGCTGCGTCAGACTTGGCTGTTATGTCAGGAAATCCTAAAAAGATTAAAACTAAATTGAGTTATGAGAGAACCTCCTTTGGTTTTGTGAACATCTGCAAGGCCACTGCAGAAAATAAAGTCATGAGCAGGTATTCTGTCCACTTTAAATCAATTTAGAATCATCATCTGGTGGCAGAAGGCTTTTGAGATGGCATAGTTTTGTGACTTGACTCATGTTTGAGCCCAGGGTTCATCATAGACGTTCTTCAAACTGTCTAAGACTGAACATTTTTGTGGAGCTTAGATGCCGTTGAACTCTACATTAAACAAAAGAAGCAAAAATGCATAATCAGCCATAACATAGTTTATTTTTTGGTTAGAACTCAGACGAGAGAGCTCCAACATCCGTTAAATGCTGCTAACCGTTTCCCTCGAGCTGCCTCATCCTCTGAATCCTCACACTGATGGAAAACAAAAACACGGCTTGTTTTGGGGCAGCTAATAAAGCAGTCTAAGAGAAGTGTGACGAGCAAATGAAAGGAAAACACAACACATTTATTCCACTGCTCCTAAATGTGGCTCTGCAGTCAGAATGCAGACGGGAAGCTGAGGAGGGGGGTAGGGTCTGGACAGAGATGCCGTTTGTCTTGTTGGGGTGGTGATGAAGTTTGAACACGAGCAACCGTCAGCTGCAGGGGGACTCAGAAGCAGCATCATGCTGTCAGCATGAAAGCCAGCTGTGTATTACGAGGTGCAGGAATGTTTTACTCACTTGCTTTGTGTCTCGGAAAAAGTTTGGGAAAAAAGAACCAAAAAGAACCTTTTCTCCTACTTGCACTCAGAGTCCTCTGATGCTTTTTCTGTTCTTCCTTTTGTTCTTTTGGGTGCTTTTTATTTATTTATTTTTGGTCTCTTCACATCTGGTGGCTGTGTGATGAACCTGCAGAAGCAACAGACCAAACTAACCGCAGTGCAATATTTAGACTGGAATTGAGCTCATGTCTTTATTTTCAGCTGTGCAATAAAGATACACCGGCACAGACCCAACAGGATTTCTTTTATTTTACTCACCTGAACCTGAGTGTTTTCCACTAACCCAGACGGGTTACAACACGTGCAGCATAAAGACAAGAATGTATTGATCTAACTACTTTAAATCAGTTTAATAAATGTAAAATTTTTCAGGGAGCCTCACAAAAAAAACCTCCTGAGAAAAAACAGGAAGACTTGCTCTCCCCCCAAGAATCCCTTATAGAGCTGAAGGAATTTTGGGTTAAAAGTTAAAAATTCTTTCTTACTTAAGTGAAGATGCATATCAAAACTTTCTGTAGCTCAGGTTCTCTGTGCAGCTTTATCTGATGCCTAATCCTGCAAAGCATGTCAGAAATCATCAGAACGACTATGGAGGGAGCTCAGAACAGGGCTTCAGGGAGCAGCACACTGGTAAAACCAGAACAAGTAGCACTGACTTTATTTAATTCACCTGCCTAAGATGAAATGTTGCAGCTAATTATGTTTTTATCTGAACAGGACAGGAGTTAGCACAGAAAATGCTCCCTGCTGTGTTTGTGAGGGAGGAACAGCTCCGATAAAAGTGTGGCTAAACACTATAATGGGTTCGTAGGCCTGGTTTCTAGCTTGATATCAGTATTTCTCTGCTGCAGATGCTGCTCAAACACATCTGTTAAACTGTGACCTAAATATTTCCAACTTGTCACCGGATGTCACCATACTTTCATTTTTTCTCAGAACCCCGGGGTCATGTTGATGCATCAGACCTAGATTATGTTAATGAGGAAAATAATATAAAAAATATGTACTTTAATAAAACAACAAAAACAAAAAAGTCCTGTGAGATTAATGTGCAGACACAAGTCAGAACACTGTTCAATGTTGGGTTATACTGCCACCATGTGGTTTGATTAGACATAGCAGCACCATTCATTTGAACATAAAGATGTATTATTATTATTATTATTATTATTAATAGAACTGCTTTCTTTGAACCGATAGGTTTCTAGACACTAAAGAAACAATAAAGCAGATTTCAGCAGGATTATTTATTTCTTTGTGTTAATGATGAACAGGTTTTTTTTAGGTGTTCTCAGCAATAGTCGTGTTAAATTTAGAACACACTCCTATTCAATTGATCTTTATGTGCAGAAATGTTTTAGAAAACTTTGAGTTTGAGTTGACTGGAATCAATTTTCAATGATTACCTGAAACACTTCCATGTTCTTGTTACAAAAACACACTGGTAATAAAAAGAGCCAGTTGTGTAGTCAATATGGAAGGTACTGGGTTTACATTAATATGTCAGTCCAGTCAGTCAGCAGGGCGCCACTGCAGCAGGGAATCGAACTCTGTCTTATTACTGAAAGCACCATTACCAAGCTTTGTGTTGTGACATGAAAATGTAAAACAGAACATGCATAGAGCCCAATCATGCTGAACAGAGCTCATTTAAAATGTACAGAATAAGTATTTTGATGGAGGGTTTGTATTTTACACCACACAGCTATAAGAGCCCAGGCTCCTAGTCTGACCCCTGTCCTGGGACCAGTTCACCTCAGGAGACCGCAACAGAGTTGTGCCCTGATCAAAAGCAGACCTTAGCAAGAAGGGGATACAGAAAACCCCTTCACCATTTTACAGAGAGACTCTTCAAAGAAGATTTTGTGTGTGTGTGTGTGTGTGCGTGTGTGTGTGTGTGTGTGTGTGTGTGTGTGTGTGTGTGTGTGTGTGTGTGTGTGTGTGTGTGTGTGTGTGTGTGTGTGTGTGTGTGTGTGTGTGTGTGTGTGTGTGTGTGTGTGTGTGTGTGTGTGTGAGGGGATTTTGGTTTTTTGCAAGTGTTTCTGCTTGCTTTAGGATTTGGCGTTTTCTTCGGGCTTTCTTTGTTTTGTATGTGTATATATATATATATATATATATATATGTATATATATATATATATATATATATATATATATATATATACATATATATATATGTGTATATATATATATATATATATATATATATATATATATATATATATATATATATATATATATACATTTTTTTATATATCACAGAACAGTTTCATAGGACAAATCTGTTAAACGGACATCAAAGTTGTTCTCTTTTTCAAACGTATTCAGAAGTAGAGGAAAGGTCAGGTGTTGGCGTTTTCCTGGTCTGAGTTTGGGATGCACTTGTTCTTTTTGTGTGTGTCAGGGTTCTTCCTCCGCCTGTGAGAAGGTTTTTCAGGAGGAACTTTGTCTTCCTCTGGTTCTATAATTAGTTGGATATTTAGATGTTCCTGAAGTCTCTAAGTTGTTTTGTGATTCAAGGTCTGATTATATGCAAATGCTTGGTTTTGCTCTGAAACCGTTTGATTTTGAGGTGTTTTAGATACCAGTGGAGTTTGAGGTGTGAAAATATCTTTCGCTAATAATTAATTTGAGTAACAACTTCTGGGATGACGTCCTTTTTTATGGGTTTGTTTGTCTTTCTTCTGCAAGA